AAGAGGAAATGGAAAATAACAATGAAAACCAACAGTGGGAGGTAGGACAGTAAAGGGGGGGGGGGAATAATCAAAGAGGAAAACAAACCATGTTTAGTAACATAAATAAACAAATATGGCTGGAACAACAACCCATATCTCAATAATAACCCTAAATGTTAATGGCTTAAACTCACCAATTAAGAGACACAGGCTAGTAGAATGGATCACAAAACAAGACCCAACAATATGCTGCCTACAGGAGACGCATTTGATAGGAAAAGACATACACAGGCTGAAGGTGAAAGGTTGGGAAAAATCATATCACTCATATGGACTTCGGAAACAAGCAGGAGTGTCCATACTCATATCAAATAAAATAGATTTCAAGCCAAAGTTAATCAAAAGGGATAAAGAGGGACAATACATACTGCTTAAGGGAACCATACACCAACAAGACATAACAATCATAAATACATATGCCCCAAACAATGGTGCAGCTATACAATGGTGCAGCTATGTTCATCAAACAAACTCTTCTCAAGTTCAAGAGTCTAATAGACCACCATACAATAATCATGGGAGACTTCAACACACCTCTCTCGCCACTGGACAGATCTTCCAAACAAAAGTTGAATAAGGAAACTATAGAACTCAATAACACAATTAATAACCTAGACTTAATTGACATATATAGAATATACCACCCAACATCAAGCAGTTACACTTTTTTCTCAGCAGCACATGGATCCTTCTCAAAAATAGATCATATATTATGTCACAGGGAAACTCTTAGACAATATAAAGGAGTAGAGATAATACCATGCATCCTATCTGATCATAATGGAATGAAACTGAAAATCAACGATAAAAGAAGGAAGGAAAAAGCATACATCACTTGGAGAATGAACAATAGGTTACTGAATGATCAATGGGTTATAGAAGACATCAAGGAGGAAATTAAAAAATTCTTAGAGATTAATGAAAACACAGACACAACATATCGGAATCTGTGGGACACACTGAAAGCAGTTCTAAGAGGAAAATTCATTGCTTGGAGTTCATTCCTTAAAAAAAGAAAAAACCAACAAATAAATGATCTCATGCTTCATCTCAAAATCATAGAAAAAGAAGAGCAAAACAACAGCAAAAGAAGTAGAAGGCAAGAAATAATGAAAATCAGAGCTGAAATTAATGAAATCGAAACAAAAGAAATAATTGAAAAAATTGACAAAACTGAAAGTTGGTTCTTTGAAAAAATAAACAAAATCGACAGACCCTTAGCCATGCTAGCGAAGAGAAGAAGAGAGAGAACTCAAATTACTAGCATACGGGATGAAAAAGGCAATATCACAACAGACACTTCAGAAATACAGAAGATAATCAAAAATTATTTTGAATCCTTATACTCCAATAAATTAGAAGATAGTGAAGGCATTGATAAATTTCTGAAGTCATATGATCTGCCCAGATTGAGTCAGGAGAATATAGACAACCTAAACAGACCAATATCAATCGAGGAAATAGAAGAAACCATCAAAAGACTACCAACTAAGAAAAGCCCAGGACCGGATGGGTATACAGCAGAATTTTACAAACCCTTTAAAGAGGAACTAATACCAATACTTTTCAAGCTATTTCACGAAATAGAAAAAGAGGGAGAACTTCCAAATTCATTCTACGAGGCCAACATCACCCTGATACCTAAACCACACAAAGACACTTCAAAGAAAGAAAACTACAGACCAATATCTCTAATGAACCTAGATGCAAAAATCCTCAATAAAATTCTGGCGAATCGGATACAAAAACATATCAAAAAAATTGTGCACCATGATCAAGTAGGATTCATCCCTGGGATGCAAGGCTGGTTCAATATACGGAAATCAATAAATGTTATTCGCCACATCAATAGACTTAAAAATAAGAACCATATGATCATCTCGATAGATGCGGAAAAAGCATTCGACAAAGTACAGCATCCCTTTATGTTCAAAACTCTAGAAAAACTAGGGATAACAGGAACATACCTCAATATTGTAAAAGCAATCTATGCTAAGCCTCAGGCTAGCATCATTCTTAATGGAGAAAAATTGAAGGCATTCCCTCTAAAATCTGGAACAAGACAGGGATGCCCTCTCTCACCACTTCTGTTCAACATAGTTCTCGAAACACTGGCCACAGCAATTAGACAGACGAAAGAAATTAAAGGCATAAAAATAGGAAAAGAAGAACTTAAATTATCACTATTTGCAGATGATATGATTCTATACCTAGCAGACCCAAAAGGCTCTACAAAGAAACTATTAGAGCTAATAAATGAATTCAGCAAAGTGGCAGGATATAAAATCAACACGCATAAATCAAAGGCATTCCTGTATATCAGCAACAAATCCTCTGAAATGGAAATGAGGACAACCACTCCATTCACAATATCTTCAAAAAAAAATAAAATACTTGGGAATCAACCTAACAAAAGAGGTGAAAGACTTATACAATGAAAACTACAGAACCCTAAAGAGAGAAATAGAAGAAGATCTTAGAAGATGGAAAAATATACCCTGTTCATGGATAGGCAGAACTAACATCATCAAAATGGCGATATTACCAAAAGTTCTCTATAGGTTTAATGCAATGCCAATCAAAATCCCAATGGCATTTCTTGTAGAAATAGAGAAAGCAATCATGAAATTTATATGGAAAAATAAAAGACCCAGAATAGCAAAAGCAATGCTAAGCAGGAAGTGTGAATCAGGCGGTATAGCGATACCAGACTTCAAACTATACTACAGAGCAATAGTAACAAAAACAGCATGGTACTGGTACCAAAACAGGCGGGTGGACCAATGGTACAGAATAGAGGACACAGAAACCAATCCACAAAACTACAACTATCTTATATTTGATAAAGGGGCTAAAAGCATGCAATGGAGGAAGGATAGCATCTTCAACAAATGGTGCTGGGAAAACTGGAAATCCATATGCAACAAAATGAAACTGAATCCCTTTCTCTCGCCATGCACAAAAGTTAATTCAAAATGGATCAAGGAGCTTGATATCAAATCAGAGACACGCCGTCTGATAGAAGAAAAAGTTGGCTACGATCTACATACGGTGGGGTCGGGCTCCAAATTCCTCAATAGGACACCCATAGCACAAAAGTTAATAACTAGAATCAACAAATGGGACTTACTCAAACTAAAAAGTTTTTTCTCAGCAAAAGAAACAATAAGACAGGTAAATAGGAAGCCTACATCCTGGGAACAAATCTTTACTCCTCACACTTCAGATAGAGCCCTAATATCCAGAGTATACAAAGAACTCAAAAAATTAGACAATAACAAACAACCCAATCAACAAATGGGCCAAGGACCTGAACAGACACTTCTCAGAGGAGGACATACAATCAATCAACAAGTACATGAAAAAATGCTCACCATCTCTAGCAGTCAGAGAAATGCAAATCAAAACCACCCTAAGATACCATCTCACTCCAGTAAGATTGGCAGCCATTAGGAAGTCAAACAACAACAAGTGCTGGCGAGGATGTGGGGAAAAGGGTACACTTGTACATTGCTGGTGGGACTGCAAATTGGTGCAGCCAATTTGGAAAGCAGTATGGAGATTTCTTGGAAAGCTGGGAATGGAGCCACCATTTGACCCAGCTATTCCCCTTCTTGGTCTATTCCCTAAAGACCTAAAAAGAGCATGCTACAGGGACACTGCTACATCGATGTTCATAGCAGCTCAATTCACAATAGCAAGACTGTGGAACCAACCCAGATGCCCTTCAATAGACGAATGGATTAAAAAAATGTGGCATTTATACACAATGGAGTATTACTCTGCATTAAAAAATGACAAAATCATAGAATTTGCAGGGAAATGGATGGCACTAGAGCAGATTATGCTAAGTGAAGCTAGCCAATCCCTAAAAAACAAATGCCAAATGTCTTCTTTGATATAAGGAGAGTAACTAAGAAGAGAGTAGGGACGAAGAGCATGAGAAGAAGATTAACATTAAACAGAGATGAGAGGTGGGAGGGAAAGGGAGAGAAAATGGAAATTGCATGGAAATGGAAGGAGACCCTCAGGGTTATACAAAAGAACATACAAGAGGAAATGAGGGGAAAGGGAAAAATAATACAAGGGGGAGAAATGAAGGTCAGTAGAGGGGGTAGAGAGAGAAGAGGGGTGGGGAGGGGAGGGGAGGGGGGATAGTAGAGGATAGGAAAGGTAGCAGAACATGACAGTCACTAGTATGGCAATATGTAAATCAATGGATGTGTAATTGATGTGATTCTGCAATCTGTATATGGGCTAAAAATGGGAGTTCATAACCCACTTGAAGCAAAGTGTGAAAGATGATATATCAAGAACTATGTAATGTTTTGAACAACCAACAATAAAAAATAAAAAATAAATAAAAAATAAAAAAATAAAAAAAAAGTAAATGAATGTAATAAAGGTGAGGAAAAAAAAAAGAAAAAAGAAAAAAAAAAGCATGAATGAGGGAAAGTTTGTGGTTTATCATAATGTACATGTGCTCCAAGTCAACAATAAATCATCCACAATATGTATTTAAAGATAATTTTCAAGCATCCAAATTTTTTTAAATAAACCAAAATATGATATATATATATATAGAGATAGATAAATAGATTTATTTCTTAGTATAAAAATTTTCTGCAGGGGTTGAGAGTATATAGCTCAGTGGTAGAACATTTGCCTACCATGAGCCAAGGCCCTAGGTTCAGTTCCCAGCATCCAAAAAAACACATAAAAAATAAAATAAAAATAACTTGTAAATTTGTCACCAAAATAAAAAATCCTCCTCTTTTATGTTTGTCAATCTATTTATCATAGACAACAGATGTTACAAACTTGCTTCTATAAATCACAAACTCTGAAGGTGTATCTTCATCTTTAAAATGAGATCACTCTTGAATGTCTAAAGATTAGATGTAGTCTTATATCACAGTACCCTGAAATCATAGAAGTATTATTTTTATCATAATTACCTTTTCTATTTCTCTTTGTGTAGCTCCTTCTTTTTTTAGACGCTCCTGTTCTACACACTTGGCATTGTAATTTTCCTTGGATTTCTGGAGGGCCTGAGTTATGCTCTGAATGGTTTGGACAGCTTCCAGAGTTCCTGCAACTTCTTCTTTAGTCTGTTTGGTATGAAATGATTCATCAAAGTTACTGGGCTATAAAGCATTCAATATCTGACCAATCAATCCTTAATAAGAGAAAAAGATACCTTTTTATGAGATTTTGCTTGTTCTTCTCCATATTTCTGAACTTCCTTTATTAATTCCTGTAATTTTCTAACAAGATCCAAGTGACAATTTGCTAATTTTTCTGTAGATGTTTTGAACACATCCCACACTGGTGCAAATGTTCTAAGAAAAAGGAGAAGCATGGGAATAATTTACTAAAAGAAAAAGACTAACGTTCTAAGATGGATCCAATGGAAACACTAATGCTATATTTGGCAAAAAAAATAGTATTAAAATAAATAATGATGATATGACTGATATGATCTTGATTTTTTAATCCTTGGATAATTATCTAAAATATTTTTGGGTCACAGGTACACAGAAATGGGTTAATTTCATTAATTTCATGCCACAGTTCTTTACAGCCCACCCCACCCCCCACCTTATTTCATTATGTTCACATTATTTATTTTCTGCATTGATTTGGTAGAATTTTCTTTTTCCAAGGGGCAGTTACTGGGGATTTCAGGGGCACTTAACCACTGAGCCACATCTCCAGCCCTTTTTATTTTTTATTTTGAGACAGGCTCTCACTATGTTGCTCAGGGCCTTACTAAGTTGCTTAGCTGGTTTTGAGCTCATGGTCTTCCTGTCTTAGCCTCCCAAGCTGCTGTGATAAAATACTATTTTCTATAATACAACCAAGGTCCATTAATTAAAGCTATCTTTTGTTATTCCAGTTTCTTTTGGGCCCTCTACTGTAGTTAATAAAGAAGAAATTACATTTCAGGAGAAGTTTACCAGCATGCAGCCTCTAGAAATAGGAGGGTGTCAGAAAAGTGAGAAGGTTGCCTGTGTAACCTTTAGACCCACGTACTAGGGAAAGAGAGACAGGAGGATTACAAGTTTCAAACCAGCATGGGCAACTTAATGAGACTCTGTCTCAAAATAAATAAAAAGAGCTGAGGATTTGCTCAGTGGTAGAGTGCCACTGGGTTCAACTCCCAGTACTAGGGAGGAAAAGATGAGAAGAGAAATAGAAAAAAAGGAAGAATGAAGTTGAAGCAAAGGAAGGAGAAGGAAGAATAAGGACAAAAGGAAAGAAAAAACAAAAAATAGTTATCAACCACCAGTCTCTATTCTTCCAGTGAAAAAGGCTGCAATTTACCAGACTTCCTAGACACACTGCACAGGACTACAGGAGGGCCTCTTAGTGATATACACTGTTAGCCCATACCTAATGAACAGTGCCACTACACTAAAAGTGAACAAAGATTCCAACTCTGCTTTGCCCAAAACACAAAGCAGAAAGTCTTTTGTTCAAATTCATTCAACCATACTCTAGAATACTTACATAAAATACTCAATCATTTTTAATCACAGAATTATTTGTGAATGCAATCATTTATATAGACCCTTCTTAAATGAAAATATAAATTAACATCTATACACAATTTTGCATGAAATTTTAGAGGATTCAAAGGTTTATCAGAACTGCAGATATAGAAGAATTTTTTATTGATAATCACTGAAAAAATCTTTTCAGACTAATTATTTTAGTATCTTAGTTAAAATACAACCTTTCCTCAATTTTTAGATAATTAAATAAGATTAATCATTCCTTCCTGAGTTGTTGTGGTTCAGGGGATTATGGATACGAGCACATTTTCATTTTAAATACGTTTTTGTTATTAGTTTTCATATTTCAAGGAGTATATTTTTTTCAATACAAATTTTTAAAGAAAGTTCTATAATAAAAAGATATCTTAATGGAATTTTTTTTTTTTAAGTACTGAGGATTGAACTTGGGGGCACTTGATCACTAAGCCACATCCCCAGCCCTGTTTTATATTTTACTTAGAGACAGGGTCTTACTGACTTGCTCAATGCCTCACTTTTGCTGATGCTGGCTTTGAACTCCTAATCCTCCTGCCTCAGCTTCCTAAGCCACTGCGTAGTCATCTTAATGGATTTTAATCCACTAATAAGACAGTTTATGCTAAGTGAGTTTTAAAGATCACTGTTATATTACAACAGAATTTAAATTAACTGATAGAAAACTTACCACTTTACAAGTGGTAACATTCATCATCTCAAATTTATATACTACTGAATGACTATACAGAAAAAATAATTGTCAAATTTCTTTGTGTTAACTGATTCAGCAACATTATTATATTTTCTAGCAAGTCAAGAATATATTCATAAGACATTTTAAATAAACACATAATACAATCATACATATATACTGACATTTCAATCAATGACAAACCACATAAACAATATATATCAGTAATCCCATAAACTCATATCACTTCATGATATTATAGCCATTTTAGTTTGTGTAAGTATATCCTATGCCATTTGCATAACAAAAAATTACCTAACATGTGATTCTCAGAATGTATTACCATTGTTAAATGATGTATATCACTGAATTTCTGAACTACTATATCTTAAGTAGAAACCTAATATTCTTAAGAACTTTGCCTAAATGAACACTGAAAAAGAGGAAGAAATTAACTCACCCAAGTTGTGAATAATTGCTTGCAGATTTTGCTAGTTTTGTCATTGACCTGGAATATGCCTCTTCTATTGTAGCTCTGTTGAATCAAATTTCCATATTAGAATATCTCTTAATTAGTGACCAAAAACATAACAGTTACCACAATACAATAACAATGAAGAGACAAAAAGATACTTCAAATTATATGTTAAAAATTATAGTATACAATTCTGAATTTCTGGTCTATATGCCTTTTGTACACATATACTTTAAAAAGCTGGTACAGAACTAAAATAACTTACATCATAGTAAGTTTTAATGAATTTATTTTTTTATTTTTAGTACCAATGGTTATTTGAACAGGAAGCACAAGAGTGTTGCTTCTTGTATTCATCTGTAAACTAATTCATTGTGTAAGTCATTTGTATTTAATACTTCCTTAATGTACTTAACATAATTTTGTTATTATTCAAAACTGAGATCCATATTTAACAGAACAAGAAACTAATGGCAGTCATTTGCACACAACTAAATATAAACCAGCAGAAAGTCTGAGGTCCTGAATTTTGGAGCTTATTTTGTGATTAGGTCTAAAATATAAGTATTTCATACTAAAAAATTGTGTTTTATATAACTATTATTTAGTGGATCGGATTTTAGGCTTAAAAATCCATTAAATATGGTTAAAAAACAAATTATTCTACAGATAAATAATCAATGAATGTTATAGTTTTACCTTTTTCCATAATTACCCTGGTCCTTCTCAACAGTGCTATTCCTTAATAGTGGAACATTCTGTCTTTTCATTTGACAGGTTAAACTTCCTGCCCCTATCTAAATCAGATCTACACTGCTCTTACCCCAGTAAAGGCCCCAGTCCTAGCTACACTTAGATATCTGCATCACTGCAAAATCAGAATATCCAAACTAAGCTCATTTCTAAATTCTTCCCAAACTCAGCCCCTACCAAAAATAGTTAAATAAAAAAGAAATAGTAGCAGTAACTGCCTCTCACAGATAACACTGTGGTTTTTTTTCCTGTTCTTCTAAACTTTTTGGTATTGTTTAAATAATGATATATTATAAAAGTAATACTTTGATCACCTAAAAATCACTCAGAAATAAATATCAGTATCTCAATTTTGTTTAAGAGCAAAAAATAAACACACACACACACACACACACACACTTAAATTTCAAATAACAGTAATGTGAGTATGATACCAAAACCTCTTACTAAGGAAAATTAGAAAATGATGGAAGGGGGAAATAGTGACTTAAAAGCACCAGAGAACCAATCAAAGATAAGAATCAGAATGCCAAAATCCAAGAGAAAAATACTCCAAGAAGTGAGTCAGGAATGTGGGGCATCTTTATCCTTAGGGGCATCTAGAAGAGGTAGCTGAAAAGCTAAGAGTGAAAAAAAGCTTTCCACAGTCTCACGAGCAAGGAAAACAAAACTTATAAAGATTATGATAGGAAGCAGGGGAAATCCCATCCCACGAAGTTGAGGTAATAAATGCAATACTCTTCAAGTAAGGATGAACCAGAAGTATAGACAAGCACTCACAAGAATCATAAACCATCTCTTCAAACTCTGATGTTGGATTTTTGTATAGACATCTTATATACACTCAGAAAACCACTAAGCACATAAGGAAACAAGATAACATAAACAAACAGAAAAACAACAGAAACAAATTACCAGGATTCCAAATGTGAAGATGACAAAGCTTAGACTTTGAGTACATGTATTATGTTCAAGATCATATATAAATCATATCAAGAATCTCAGTAAAAACCTGAAAATCATTAAAAAGGACTAGAAGAGCCAGGCGCGGTGGTACACACGTGTAATCCCAGTGGCTCAGCAGGCTGAGATAGGAGAATCTCAAATTCAAAGTCTGTCTTAGCAATAGTGAGGCGCTAAGCAACTCAATGAGACTCTGTCTCTAAATAAAATACAAAAAAAGGGTTGGGGATGTGGCTCATGCCTGAGTGCCCCTGGGTTCAATCTCTGGTACCCCACCACCACCACAAAAAAAGGACTAGAAGAAAGCTTGCCAAATTAGGGGGAAAAAAACACACAAACTGAAATTCTGAAATATAAAATAACCAAAATTAATATCTCAAAGGATGAGATTGTTTTTTGGTACTAGGGATTGAACCTAGGGTGCTTATCCGCTAAGTCACATCCCCATCATTTTTTATATTTTATTCAGAGACAGGGTTACTTATGGCCTAAGTTACTTATGGCCTTGCCAAACTGCTGAGGCTGGCTTTGAACTTGCAGTCCTCCTGCCTCAGCCTCCCTAGCCGCTGGGATTCAGGCATGCATACTATACCTGGCTCAGATGATGAGATTGTTACAGCAGATTGATACACTGTAATGAGAACTTGATAACTAGAAGACAGATAAGAAGAAATCTATCCCAGACTAAAGCTCAAATACAAAAGAGGAGGAAATAGAGAGTCTAACATATGAAGAAACAAAGAATGGGTAAGAAGAAATACTGAAAGAAATAATGATGGAGAATTTTCCAAAACTGACAAAAGCTATAAAACCACAGATCTAAATAACACAACAAACCTACAAGTATGAATAAAAAAAGGTTGGAGATATGGCTCAATGGCAAGTGCACTTAGCATACATGAGGGTCCTGGGTTCAATCCTCAGCACCACAAAAGAATGAAGAAAAAAAAAAGGCAATCAACACTTAGTTACACCATATAAAACTGCTGAAAACCAAAAACTAAAAAACAAAATCAAACATTGTCAACCAACAAATGTCACTTTCAAAGGAGCAATAGCTAGACTAACTGCTAACATTTCACAGCAGATAATGAAATGATTTTCAAAGATTTGTTTTAAAAAAGGAATCTGCCAATTAGAATTCTATATCCAGCAAAATATAAATGAAAGTAAATCCCTAAGGCAATAATTGATCTAGGAGATGATCATCAACAATCATTAACATCACAAAACAGATATAATTGGATGTTACACTCCTAGGATGGAGGATGTTACACACCTCTGATAGAGTATGCACCACCACCTATTATGTATTCTGCTCAGAATACTAAGTGAAATTTGTTCAAGATGCTAGATGTAAATAATCTATAGGAAATATAAAGGTAAGTAAAAATGTTAAGTAAAATCATTACATATTACCAGAAGTGGAACACTAAATAGTATAATCTGATTTATTTAACAACCAAAAGACAATAAGAGACCTGAAAAAGAAACAAACCAAAAAAAGACATCAACCAGGTATAATATAGAGATCTTGCTAGGATACTAATTAGAAGATATCAACTACATATGTGCATATGTGTACGTATATGTACATATGCATTGTGTATGTTCATGGCAACTAAGGAAAATTGAGCACTCACTGTATATTCAGTGATACTAAGGAATTAATACTACATTTTTAGATAGGAAATGTTGTGCTTTTTAAAGGCTCTTCTAAAGATACATCTGAAATGTAAATGGATGAAATGTAACATTTCTGAATCTGATACTGAATTTATAACAATTTAGTAGCAGTGATATGGATCAGCTGAAACAAGAATGACCATGATTTGATAACAAGAATAGCCATATTGAGGCTGGGTGATTGCTACATGGAAGTTCCTTACATTAAGAACTTCTATACAGTTCTGTATGTGTTCAAAAGCATTTTAAATTATGATAAAGATATTATTACGCTAACAAAAATTGAGAATTTATCATCAGCAAATCCACATCAACTAGAATTTTAAAAAGACGTATTTAAAACAAAAGAAAAACTATCCAAGATAAAGTATTTTTTTAAATATATATATTTAGTTGTAGATGGATACAATGACATTAATTAATTTATTTATTTTTATGTGGTGCTGAGGATCAAACTCAGTGTCTCATGTGTGCTAGGCAAGCACTCTACCATTGAGCCACAACCCCAACCGCGAGATAAAGTAATTTTAACAAACTTCACTAATAACTGTATGAGAATAATAAAAATAAAGAGCATTTTTGTGTGTGTGAATGGGCCATAAAACCTAAATAACAAATTACATGACTTAAATTAACTAAAGACTGGAAAATTTTAAACTAATCATTAAATCTGTTGGATAAATAATGTGATTTTTAAGTCCAGAAAGCCACCTTAAACAAAAATGTCATGCTGGGCACTGTGGCACACACCTATAATCCCAGTGACTCAGGTGGCTGAAGCAGAAGGATCACAAGTTTGAGATCAGCCTCAGCAAATTAAAGAGGCCCTCAGCAACTTACCAGGACCCTGTCTCAAAATAAAAAATAAAAAGGGCTGGGGATGTAGCTCAGTGGTAAGGTACCCCTTTCACCAATAGGTCATTCAACATAAAAATCAATAAAAATATTTCCAATCTAAATAATACTATAAATCAACTAGACCTAACAAACAAACATCTACAAAATGACCCCCAGAACAGCTGAATTCACTTTTTCCTTAGCAGCTCATGGAACCTTTTCCACAATATACCATATACTAAGTCACAACATAAGTCTTAGCAAATACAAAAAACTGGTATAATCCTATGCATTTTATAAAATCATAATGGAATGAAATTAGAAATTAAAAGGAATAAAAATTATAGAAACCACATAAACACATGAAGATTGAACAGTACTCTTTTAAATGAGGAGTGGATTATAAATGAAAGAAGAAAGCAATAAATTCTTAGATTCAAATGAGAACAGAGATACAAAAAATAAAGTTCTCTAGGACAGTATAAGGCAGTTCTAGGAGAAAAGTTTATTGCATTAAGTACCTACACTTAAAAAAAACAAAGATACCAAATAATCTAATACTATGCACCTCAGGGTCCTAGAAAAGGAAAAACAAACTAATTCCAAAATGAGTAAAAGATAGGAAATAATTAAGAAGGAAATAATTAAGATCTAAAACAAAATAAATGAAATTGAGAACAATATTTTATCCTATAATATTTCTCAATCTTTTATTGCATCACTTTTGCTAACATATCCAATGAAAAATGCATAAATAGTATGTTAAGCAGTAATTTGCAAACCAAGTATTTAACAATGTCTCTCCAAACTATTATGCAGCCCTCAGGTATGTAGATAATTAAAAAAAAATACTCCTCTAAAATATAATTATAGGTAAGCTGGATGGCACACACCTATAACCCCAGGTACTCAGGAGGCTAAGGCAGGAAGATTGCAAATTTGAGGCCAGCCTCAGCAACTTACCAAGACCCAGTCTCAGAACTAAAATAAAATAAAGGGGTGGGGATGTAGCTGAGGAGTAAAGTGCCCCTGCATTCAATCCCCTGTACTGCAAAAAGTAAATAAAAAGACATAACATTCATAAATATATATACACATATATACATATAGTTACAGTATACTTATATACATATATACATGTAGTTACAGTATACTTTTTTAAAGTGTCCATTATTATTCTAAACCCTACCAAATTTTGTCCAATTACTTATATTTTATAATTCAAATTGATAATTGTTTAACAAATTACTTATAACAAATACATACCTTTCTCTTACAAAATCTGCTAGTTCTTTTGTTGATATCTGTCCATGTTTCATATTATGGTAGAGAACGTCAAAGCCACTATTTTTTTCTCCCTAAAATTCAAAGATATTTAATATTTAGTTTATAGATATTTAGTTTAACAAAAGAGAAAGAGGTAAAAAATGACTGGAGAATACAATAACTCTAGACTACATAAATATTATTCTTATCTTACAAATCTTATGCTCTGGTAAGTTGTTTTTCCTTAATTTAACCACTATCATTCACAGTATGATTTTAAACTGTTATCAATGCAATTCTACATGCTTTGATAAATGTAATTTACTATATATACACATATAGACATGCACACACATATGCTCATATTCCATAATCACCCATAATGGTATATAATTAATGAATATAAGTATGAAATTTTAACATACAGCATTAAGTTAGAAAATATCAGCAACAGACCTTTTAAAATCCCATTTCAGTTCTTTTGAGACATACTAAGAAACTAACTCAAGAATTTGTGCTTTAAAACAACTAAATCTTGACCTGAGTCAAGATGCCATAGTATTTTTTCATCATATAAGCATTAGACACCAGAAAAACAAATACTTTACAATTCCTATTCTAAACCCTTTAGTAAACTTGAGAGAGCTTGAAAAGAATAAAATTTTAAGAAAAGAGAAGAAACAGGCTATTTTCTTAGTCTTCAACTAATTAGAATAACAGAATCAGATCACTACACTTTATTGCTGTGTAATTGTATAAATACTAAATTAGTAAATCACGACAAAGAAAACATGAGAAATGTCAATTTAATCTGTGAAATAAAAGATCACTAATAAACATAACAACTCTCTTTAACAGGTTTATTTTTCTTCAGTGCCAAATTTACTAAATTTTACTATTTTATTGATATTAAGTAAAATTTAGTAAATTTAGCATTCAATAGAGTAAAATTAATATAATAACAGTAATATACCTTGGGAAACAATATTAGCTACTCCACTCCTCAGTTTTGTTGTTTTTTATCTTAGGGATTTTCTAAAATAACATCATTTATTTATTTGTTTTTATGTGGTGCTGAGGATTGAACCCAGTGCCTCACACATGCTAGCCAAGCACTCTACCACTGAGCCACAAACCCAGCCCCTCAGTTCTTAACTTAGAAAGAACATTTTTCCTAATAGGGATCATGATGCACAAGGAACCTCCTTCGAAGGCACTAATGACTACACATTGCCTGATTACAAATCCATTTGTTATTTCTTCTATTTGGACATTCATTCATGACCAGGTCAAAAAATACAGTGAGTCAGACTACTGAGCACACAAGAGAATTAAATTACCTTCAGAATCTGTATTCTGATTAAGAAGCCCTTGAAGAAGTAAGTTATTTATTAAGAAATTCAGATATCCAGATAGCATTTTACTCAGGAATTCCCAGTAGAAGGGGCATTCCTTTTCTCTAATACAATTTCACAAACTTATTAACACAGATATTTATTGATCATGAACATTTTCTTTGAAACAAATTAAGCAATAACTTAAATACTTCAAATGAATATGTTATTTAGATATATACACATATATAGACACACACATATATATCCATACAGATAAATATATTTGCGCATATATATATATCCTTTTATTAAAAACTTCAGGGCTGGGGTGTGGCTCAGTGGTAGAGCACTTGCCTTGCATGCATGGGGCGCTGGGTTCTATCCTAAGCAACACATAAATAAATAAAATAAAGGTATTTTATCTACAACTTAAAAAAAAAAAACTTCGAAGTTGAGGTGATTAACAAAGAACCTAGGTTTTACTGTCACCATGTCAAAAACTTACTGTAAAGCCTAAATAAGAGATGACAATATATTAAATACACATATATTTCAAAATCAATTTTATAACATTTTGTTGTCCCCCCAAAAGAACCCACACCCAAGTGGCTACATTTTTAAGTGTAGGTATGTACATCAGTACCCATCAGGCTCATTTTCAGCTGGCTTATTTGTTAATTTGATCAGTACTTGTGAATTAAGCACATACATGTCCACAAAGAAATTTGTATATGAATGTTCGTAGCAGTATTATTCACAATAACTAAATAGTGGAAATAATCCAAATGTCCATCAACTGATGAGCAGATAAAAACAAAGTGATATACCCATACAATGGAGTATTATTGGGTCATAAAAAGGAATGAAGTAGGCCAGGTGCAGTGGTGCACACCTGTAGTCCCAGCAATTTGAGAGGCTGAGGCAGGCAGATCACAAGTTCAAGGCCAGCCTCAGCAAATTAGCGAGGCCCTAGCTAATCTAGCAAGACCCTATCTCAAAAAATTTTTTTAAATAAAATAAAATAAAAGAGCTGAGGATGTGCCTCAATGGTTGCTGGGTTCAACGCCTGGTACCAAAAAAAGGGGGGGAGTGTGGAAGATAAAGTATTGTTACATTCTCCAACACTGAGGAAACTTGGAAAACATTACACTAAGTGAAAGATACAGTTGTCAAAAGACCACATACTATTACAATTTCATTCATATCAAAGTGCAGAACAGGGAAATATACACAGACAGAAAATAGAGAAATGGATTGCTTGAAGGTAGGAAAGTAAGGTAGGGGATGAATGATAAAGGTTACAGAGGTTTCTCCTTAAAGTGATGAAAATGTTCTTAAATTGTATTTGATGATGACTGCACATATCAATGAATATTGCCAAAAAAAAAATGAACTGAATTCTATTTCTATTTCTATTGTATTACTGGGGATCCAACACAGGCTCTACCACTGAGCTCCAACCCCCAGTCTGAATTGTACATGTTCAAGGAGTGAATTATAAGGCATATAAAAAAATATCTCAATAAAATTATTTTTAAAAAGTGAAGTACATGTTTTTTATATGTTTCCCTTCCTAGGTTCTTGTGTTAAGAGCTAACAAAACTCTGGAAGAATTCAGCTTACCCTTCTTAATCAAAAAATTCTTGCAGAGCAATTTTTATTATTAACTGGCAAAAACAGCTATCAATACCTTTGCTGGTCCAAAGAAGAAAATTACAATGAAGGTTCAAACTTAGATAGGATCTCTTATCAGTTGATCACAAAAGCATTTTACAAAAAGCAGTACTCTGACTGAATGTCCACTAGCTATGACCTGGTGTAAATCAAATCTTATTATAATCCAACACAAACGAGTATCAAACATCTTTGCAAATTGGGTTGGGAGTGAAGCTCAATGCTATAGCACTCGCCTACCATGTATAAGGTCCTAGGTTCACAGTCCCCAACATTAAACAATCAAAATCTCTGTAAATGATTTTTAACATGAAAAAGAAAAAAAGGGAATTGTAATTTCAGCATCCTTGGAAGATTATAAATTCAGAATCATGTAAGCCCTTTAAAAGAACAAATTTCTTGGGGCCGGGATTGTGGCTCAGTGGTAGAGTGCTTGCCTAGCATGTAAGGCACTGTGTTTGATCCCTATCACCATATAAAAATAAACTAAAAATAAAGGTATTGTGTCCATCTACAACTAAAAAAAAAATTTTAAAGAAGAACAAATTTCTTGGTACCTATTTTTTTCCTCTTCCTGCTCTAATTAAGATGATTTCAGTTAACAGTTTGATGTACATCAATCCAGAATCCTTTTTGCACAGGCAAGATGTTACTTTTAATATGAGAATGATATTATGTTATCATATCATTTTTGCACTTGTATTAACAACTAAACTAAAATTTAGCTAAAAAGATGTTATAAATAAGTCATTAAAAAATATTTAAATTTGGGTTGGGGTTGCAGCTCAGTGGTAGAACATTTGCTTAGCATGTGTGAGGCACTGGGTTTGATCCTCAGCACCACCTAAAAATAAATAAAGGTATTGTGTCCATCTACAACTAAAAATATTTTTTTAAATGTTTAAGTTTTTTCCAGAAGTCACAAGTGAGGCATCCTTGAAATTTCTAATTAAAACATTTAAATAAGTTGTTAGGTCTACCTCTTGAAACCCAAAGACATTTTTTATTTAATTTGATAACAACTTTATACTTTAAAATAAATACACATAATAATCTAGCATATTTATTCTTTAAGAAAAAATGATTTTGAAATTTCTCCTTCAACAAACTTTTTAAGGTCAACAGTAAGTTAAACACTAAAAATAAAACCTGGATATGCTTCACTTTTGATAACTGTAAGAATTGGAGGGCTGGGGCCATAGCTCAGTGCTAGAGCGCTTGCCTTGCAAATGTAAGGCACTGGATTAGAGCTTCAGCACCACATAAAAAAATAATAAATTAATAAACAAAGATATTGTGTGTCCATCTACAACTAAAAAAAATTTTTTTAAAAGAAGGTTTAGCTTTAGACTTTTAAAAAAAATTGGAAAATAGGCAGAAGATAGACTGTATACTGTATAATGAGTTCAAATGATGGATTTCACTAAATTTCCTTTTTAATTTTTTTTCTAATATCTTTATTTTATTTATTGTTATGTGGTGCTGAGGATCAAACCCAGCGCCTCGCACGTGCTGGGCGAGTGCTCTACCACTGAGCTACAACCCCAGCCACCTCCTTTTTAATCTTTAAAAAAAGCTTTTGGAGGGCTGGGGTTGTGGTTCAGTAGTGGAGCACTTGCCTAGCACGTGTGAGGCACTGGGTTCAATCCACATAAAAATAAATAAATAAAATCAAGATATTGTGTCCATCTACAACTTAAAAAAAAAAACTTTTGGAAGGGTGAGAGAAGGATAAATAGACGCTTCCTATAAAACATCATCAGTAATATGCCTAAACCATCCTTACATCCAAATCCCCTCAAAAATAAATAACTGGGACTCTCTCCATCTATGAGAGATGTGCCTTTATTTGTAAGCTCTGTCAAATAAACTCTCCTGTGTATCTCTACCTGGTCTTGGACTTTGATTTCTCACTCACCATCTCCAGGTTCCTCGCTTTCCTTTCAGATACCATAGACAAATAAGGACTTTGCATCAAACAATATGGCAAATTTCCTTTCCTAGGCAGTAACTGTTGACCAAAAGACTCAAAGAGAAAGAAAGATAAATACTGCCATTTGGGCCATGGATGTCTGCAAACC